ATAAGCATATACATATGAGCTTTTGAATTTAATTATTTTATGTTGTATGTTTTAGTGCCAACCGTTGATACGACAAGAACTAGTTGGATCTTGGAGCAGATGGTAAAAATACAGAGGCCAGTGTTATTGGTTGGAGATTCAGGCACTTCGAAGACCGCCACAATTAATAACTTCCTGAAGAATATTAATGCTGACTCAAGAGTAATTTCAATACCCAAGCATGCATATGTACATTTCACTTGAGTTTAAATGTATGGTTCTCTAGATAACTTAATTTTAATTGTCTTTTATTTTAGATTACTTTGACCATCAACTTCTCATCCCGAACAACTTCATTAGACCTGCAGAGAAACCTGGAGGCGAATGTGGAAAAAAGAACCAAAGATACTTATGGGCCTTCTTTGGGGAAGAGACTACTGGTCTTCATGGATGATATGAACATGCCAAAGGTGCTAAATCCAAGATTTATATTGTTATTTATATATATATTTGTGGTAGTGGTTGTATAATATAAAACAACACAATATATGTTTTCAGGTGGATAACTATGGTACACAACAGCCAATTGCACTTTTGAAGTTGCTGTTGGACCGGGGAGGCATATATGATCGAGGAAAGGAGCTAAAATACAAACTTCTCAAAGACCTTGGCTTTATTGCTGCTATGGGAAAGGCAGGAGGTGGAAGGAATGAGGTGGATCCACGTTTCATCTCCCTTTTCAGTGTCTTCAGCATTCCCTTTCCAACAATGGACTCTCTCCACCTCATCTATGCTTCCATCATTAAAGGACACACCAGAGTAAGTATCCATGTACCCCACAGAATTTCACTGTTTTACGCTGTACTCTGATTTAATACATGTATGAAATATTTTAGCTGTTTGAGGATGCCATACAGAAAGTTTGTGATAAAATCACTTTCTGCACACTGGAACTGTACAATAACATCATCAAAGAGCTTCCACCCACTCCCTCCAAGTTCCACTACATCTTTAACTTGAGGGACCTGTCAAGAGTCTACAGTGGACTGATCCTCACTAAACCAGACAGGTCTGACCAATCACCTTCACGCTATTGATAAATTCAAAAAGTTTTTCTTAATTAATGTCTTCCACTGCTGTTCTCTTTAACAGATTTTTTAATGTCACCCAGTTTGTGCGGGTGTGGAGAAATGAGTGCTTGAGAATCTTCCACGATAGACTCATTGACAAAACTGACAAAGCTTTGGTAAAACCTTTAAATACTACTAGTTTGTAGTCCTCCTGAATGTAGTTGTTTCTCCAAATCAAATAAAAAATATGAACTCAAAATATTCTGTCAATTTATTTTGGATCCCGTAATTTTTGTATTTTTCCTCAACAGGTTCAGGGCCACATAAAAGACCTGATGGAAGAACATTTTAAATCAGACGTGGAGGCGGTGATGAGAGACCCAATTCTATTTGGAGACTACATGACAGCCCTCAGTGAGTCTGAGCCAAGAGTCTACGAAGACATCCAAGATTACGATGCTTCCAAAGCTGTGTTTCAGGCGAGTTTGTATCAGTGTTACTGACAATGACGGCTGCCTCAATCAAAATAATGCTCTGGAATTCTGCAGAATAATAATAGGACATGCTTTTTTTGCATCAGAATTATTTGTTGCTGTTTTAAGTTACTGGTTTTCTTTTGGCTCTGCAGGAAATTCTTGAAGAATACAATGAGATCAAGTCAAGGATGAACTTAGTGCTGTTTGATGATGCTCTGGAACATCTCACCCGGGTTCACCGCATCATTCGCATCGATCGTGGACATGCACTGCTTGTTGGGGTGGCGGGCTCTGGCAAGCAGTCACTTACCAAGCTTGCTGCATTCACTGCTGGCTGTGAGGTTGTTAAACGTGTTGTAGTTGTGGTGAAATACAAATGAGGCTGGCTCTTGGAAACAAATTATGTTTAGTTTATAAAGCTATGTGTAAAGTAAACAAAATTGATTCTATGCTGAGCTTACAGTTTAATAAATACTAAATCAAATAAAAGCAGGCAAGTTTAGCAGGATTATGCAGCATTAAAACACATTTCCTGCATGTGGTGTTTAAATCTTGTTTCAGATGTTTGAAATAACTCTCAGCAGAGGATACAATGAATCCAATTTGCGAGAGGATTTGAAAACACTGTACCTGAAGCTTGGCATTGAAAATAAGAAGACCGTCTTCCTTTTCGCTGATGTTCATGTAGCCGAGGAAGGCTTTTTGGAGCTAATAAACAACATGCTTACCTCAGGTGGGCTAGGACTTTAGTTAAAACTTGATTTATATTCTAAACAGCTACAGCTTTTGTACTCTGATTGTTCTTCCTGTTTAAAGGCATAGTTCCTGCCTTGTTTCCTGATGATGAGAAGGAGTCTCTTCTCAATGAGATCCGTGATGAAGCTCTTAAAACAGGAGCAGATCCTTCCAAAGAGAGTGTGTGGCAATACTTTGTCAGCAAGTGTGCCAACAATCTACACATTGTTTTAGGCATGTCTCCAGTGGGAGACACCCTCAGGACACGCTGCAGGAACTTCCCAGGTTCAAAATGCACTCAGGCTTCACTTCATTTTATGTATTTCTTTTCTAACTGTGTGACTTTTTTTAAATCTCAGGACTGATGAACAACACTGTGATCGACTGGTTCCTGCCATGGCCGCCACAGGCATTACATGCAGTGGCTCAGTCTTTCCTTGGTGTGTTTTTTTTATACAAACTTAGATGTTTTTGTTTTTTTATTATTATTAATTCATTCAGGAAATAATTTGTTAGATAATTATTTCTTTTTTAAATTTACTTAGATATTTTTTAATAGAATGGCCTTTTAAAATCTTAAAATCGACCAATGATTTGTTTTTTGTTTTTCCTACAGGTGAAAATTCAATGATTCCTGAGGTTCACACCTCAGCAGTCATAGATCATGTTTGCATGGTTCATACTTCTGTGGGTGAATACAGCAAACTATTCCTGCAAAAGCTTAGACGGTGCAACTATGTCACTCCAAAGAACTACTTGGACTTTATTAACACGTATTCTACCCTTTTGGAGGAGAAGGACAAATTCATCCTCGGTAAGAAGTTCAGAACGTATAATAAGTGCATATCCTCTGTTTTGTAAGAACTGGGCCTGGCAGCAGTTGAGTACTGCCTAATGAAACATTTGTGAGAATTTCAGTGACTGTTCTTTTTATTTTTTAGCTCAGTGCAAGCGTTTAGAGGGGGGTTTGGATAAACTTAAGGAAGCTAGTGAGCAGCTCGCTGAACTGAATGTGAAGCTTGCAGATCAGAAGATTGTCTTAGCTGAAAAGACCACATCTTGTGAAGCCCTGCTGGAAAACATTGCTTCTAACACAAACGTTGGTCAGTGAGTGCACTGCATCTTTTATAAAGGCTCTTGTACTCTGTAACATGCAGTTATTACATACTAACCCTTAACAACTCGTTCATTTAGCTGAGGAAAAAAGGACTCTGGCAGAAGAGAAAGCTAAAGAGATTGAAGAGCAGAATAAAGTTATAGCTGTTGAAAAGGAGGCTGCTGAAAGTGCTCTGGCTGAAGCTCTGCCAGCGTTAAACGCAGCCCGCATGGCCCTGCGAGACCTAGACAAATCTGATGTCACTGAGATCCGGTAAATTCTTCACTTTTTATTTACTCTTTGGAATTATTTGGAGTAATGGTTAAACAAAATTATATTGAGTGAACAGTGGTTTTTACACTGGTCAGTTATAAAAATCTATAATTTCATCTTTATGGTAAAACAAATGAAAACTAAAATCTAGTTTTCTTTGTTTCTTCCTTTGTTTCTTTCTTCATTTTTTTTGTTTATTTTTGACTGATTCACTGATACAGGTCTTTTGCCAAGCCACCCAAGCAGGTGCGAGTTGTTTGTGAGTGTGTCTTGGTGCTGCGTGGCTACAAAGAAATTAGCTGGCTATCAGCCAAAGGAATGATGTCGGAGGCAAACTTTTTACGTTCCTTAATGGAGATGGACTGCGATTCTATCAGTAACACTCAGGTCAGAACTGCCAAAGGTAAGTCAAGTGCATGATCAGTGAAAAACTATTTAGGAATGGCATAAATATCCATAAATTGTTTTCTATGACGTCATACCATTTGTTTGTTTGATTGTTTGTCTTTTTACTTGGCTAGGCTTTCTAAAGAGCCTGCAAACAAGCTTTGAGGAAATGCAAACCATCAGCAAAGCTGGTTCAGGAATGCTTAAATTTGTCGAGGCAACCATAGAGTACTGCGATGTTGCCAGAGAAATAAAACCCAAAAGAGAAAAGGTGTGTTTTTATTTGCTTTTTGTTTTGCTTTCATGTTTTAAAGGAGGAACAAAAAAGCTGTATTGTCGTTTGACTTTCAGGTGGCACGTCTAGAAAAGGAATTCTCTCATTCTAAGAAGGAGCTAGGGCACATTCAGAATGAGCTTAGCTATATTCAGACCGAGCTGAACGGTCTCAAAATGAAGTATGAAGCTGCCATCTTGGAAAAGCTAAAGCTCCAGGAGGAGGCTGAGGTCATGGAGAGGAGGCTGATAGCTGCTGACAAACTCATCTCTGGCCTGAGCTCTGAAAATAAACGGTGAGATTATGCAAGGAATGCAACAGTTGCACTTTAATGTATTGATTATCTTTTTTGATTCATATTTTTAATGCTTGATTTTTTTTCAAATATGTTTGTCACTGTCACTTATTCAATTCAGGTGGACAGAAGATTTGGACGAGTTGAGACAGCAGCGAGTGCGTCTCCTCGGTGACTGTCTGGTCTCTGCTGGTTTCCTGAGCTACGAAGGTGCCTTCAACTGGGACTTGAGGAATGAAATGGTGTATCAAACATGGGCCCAGGACATTATGCAGAGAGGCATCCCCTTGAGTCAGCCTTTTAAAGTGGAAAGCCTTCTTACTGATGAGGTAGAAATTAGCAAGTGAGTAGCTCCTGAATGCCACTTTTGAACTTTTTTATGACAATATAAACACAAAAAGGATTTGAAATGCCATATGAAAAGAATGACCTGTTATAAAGCAAAACAATCTGTTATTTGTGGATGTGTTTTTCTGCACTGAATGCTGGCAATGAGTGTGTGAATGTATCTTGTCCCGTTCTACAGGTGGGGCTCTGAGGGACTGCCTCCCGATGAGCTGTCAGTGCAGAATGGAATCCTCACAACCAGAGGAAGTCGCTTTGCTTTGTGTATTGATCCCCAGCAGCAGGCCCTCAACTGGATTAAAAAAAAGGAAGAAACCAATAAACTCAAGGTATGCAAAGCTCAACATTTAAAAGTTTATTCAAGTCACAGCTAACCATCTGATAATAAGCCCATTTGAATGTCTGTGTGTGATTCTCACCATGAGATTGACTTTTTTTTCTCAGATCTCATCTTTCAATGATCCAGACTTCTTGAAACAGCTTGAGACGGCCATTAAATATGGCAATTCGTTTCTTTTCAGAGATGTGGATGAGTACATTGACCCAGTCATTGACAATGTCCTGGAAAAAAATGCAAAAGGAGCAGAGGGCAGACAGGTCATTTTGCTGGGTGACAAGGAAGTGCATTATGATCCTAACTTTAAGCTTTACCTCAATACCAAATTGGCTAATCCCAAATATTCTCCATCCATTTTTGGGAAAGCTATGGTCATCAACTACAATGGTAAGATTTACTGCATGCCAAGTGTAGTGATCTGTATCATATAATCAGCATCTGTCTAATTACTGTGTCAATGTGACACAGTTACCCTTAAGGGTCTGGAAGACCAGCTCCTGAGCGTCGTTATGGGCTTTGAGAAAAAAGAACTGGAGGAGCAGCGTGAGCATTTAATCCAAGAGACCAGTAGCAATAAGAAGCTTCTTAAAAACCTTGGAGACTCCTTGCTTAGAGAGCTGGCCACATCTACTGGCAACATGTTGGACAACAAAGAGCTTGTTCAAACTCTGGAGGAAACAAAGCTGAAAGCCAGCGAGGTCAGTTTCAATACAATTTCCACCAATAACTTTAAAGTACATAATCAGGAACTTTTTGCTGTTTGGTTTTGTGACTACCAGGTATTTGAGAAGTTAAAGTTGGCTCAGAAGACATCCATGGATATTAATGAACTGAGAGATGGCTACCGACCTGCAGCTAAGCGCGGTGCTATCCTCTTCTTTGTTCTGACGGACATGGCTCTGGTTAACAGCATGTACCAGTACTCACTAGCATCCTACCTGGAAGTGTTTGATTTGTCACTGCGAAAATCTGTTCCTGACATTTCCCTTCAACAAAGACTTGACAACATCATGAACACTCTCACATACAATGTTTATAACTATGGCTGCACAGGTAAAATAACTGCAACATGTTCATGTTTGAATTTTTTACATTTAGACAAATCACTTTCTTTTATGTCTGTAGGGCTGTTTGAGAGGCACAAGCTGCTCTTTTCTTTTAACATGACAATCAAGATTGAGCAGGCAGAGGGGAGGGCACCTCAGGAGGAGTTGGACTTCCTTATTAAAGGTCAGCTATCCAGAAAACTTCCCGAGCAGTTCAGCAGTACAGTTGAGCAGTACAATTTATACGGAGATAAAAGATGCTCAAATGATTTTTTTAAATGTTTTCAACTTCATGCATATAGGTAATCTAGCTCTGGAAAAAAGCACACAAAAGAATCCTTGTGACTGGCTTCCTGACCAGGGCTGGGAGGACGTGGTGAAGCTCGCAGAGCTCTTTCAAGAACAGTTTGGCTCTCTGCCAGATGACATTGAAAATAACACCACTGACTGGAAATCTGTAGGTGACCACAGCACAGAGACAGAAACCAGTGAAAGGACGTTACTGAACTTTTTATTTCTTTGTTTTTCTCAGTGGTATGACTTGGATGCACTGGAGCAGGCTCCGTTTCCCATGAAGTATGAAGAGGACCTGTCAGCCTTTCAGAAGCTGCTGTTGCTGCGCTGCTTTCGAGTTGACAGAGTTTTCAGAGCTGTGACTGACTATGTCAGTGTTACCATGGGCGAGAAGTGAGTGACGGGGTTTGCTGTAGTGATGAGGCTTCACAGCGTCAAATTTTCACATAGCATTCATAAGTTTGAGGTCACTATAGCATGAATTTAACTTGAACACTTACCAGATGGAACTGTATGAAAACTGATGCAGCTGAAGTGCTTACAATTTTACACTGTTCTGAAACATAAAGTCACTGTCTCTGGGGAAACTGACTAAATGTAACTATTTGATCAAGTCTTCTATTGTTTTTCTACGCAGGTATGTACAGCCTCCTGTGATCAACTTTTCTACCATTTATGAGCACAGCACACCTTTCTCTCCCATCGTTTTCATTCTGAGCCCTGGTTCTGACCCAGCCAGTGACCTCATGAAACTAGCAGGCTTTGGAGGAAGCAAGTTCAAGTTCCTTGCCATGGGCCAGGGGCAGGAGAAGGTACTGAACACTCCCCATTCATTCAACCTTTATTTAGACAGGTTAATCCCATTGAGCTTCGGGGACTCATTTACAAGAGAGACCTGATTTTAACAAAGAGTGATGACAACAGTGGACAACAAAGACAACAATAGACATCATAAAAGGATGCATACAAATTGACATAAGTGAAAATAAAATGGTATTAAAAAATGAAACAAAAAACAGCTAGGTTGTAAAGTGATGTAGAAAACTAAAAACAGGAACATGTCCATTGTATTTTTACCAGGAACGTAGCAGATGTTTAAAGCCACTTAGAGAGGTCAAGGTCGAGAGCTTCAGATCTTTTTGCTAGATATTCCAGGAAACAGGAGCAGAGTAGGAGAAGGCCCTGTTGTCTAGTTCAGTTGTCACAGAGGGAACACTGCAGGTAATAAAGTCCAGAGAGCGCACGCTGTAGCTGCACTCACACAGAAACATGTAGGAAGAGTTGTATGAAGGCAACAGACCAAGAAGTGATTTAAAGATGAAAATGTACCAGTGAGAGAGTCTGCGTGAAGTTAATGATGTCCAGTTAACCAGTGAATACAGGGCGCAGTAGTGGGTACGATAATCACAGCCAGTTATGAATCTTACTGCACTGTGATGGACAGCATCCAACATCTGCAGGGTGCTTATAGGAGCATTCATGTAAATAATGTCACCATAGTCAATGGAGGGAAGGAAAGTCACAGTTACAAGGTGTTTCCTAGCATTCAGAATTAGACTGGATCTATTTCTGAAAAATAAACCCAATTTAACTTTCAGTTTCCCATGTGGAGCTTAAAAGAGCAATGCAAGTCGACCAAGATACCCAAATATTTGTAGGAATCGACAAACTCAATAGGAACGCCATTCAAGGATAAAATCAAAGGAAGAACTGCTGGGACCGACTTTCTTTTTGAAAACAGCATCCCTTTGGTTTTGTCTGTGTTTAGGACAAGTTTGAAACGGAACAAATCAGACTGGTTGATGTCAAAAGTGGATTGCAAAAGCTGGAAAGCCTTAGCAACTGTTTTATCTCGACAATAAACAACTGTGTCATCGGCATAGAAATGTAAGGATGCATCAGAGATGCTCTGACCTACATTACCTATGTACAGTAGATTGTAAAGAGGGTGGGTCCTAAGACTGAACCTTGTGGTACACCATTGCTGACTGTTAAATAACTGGAGGAAATACCATTATGTTGAACACATTGCCTCCAGTCTGAGGGATAGTTAGTGAACCAACCAGTGATGGGATCTGAGAAACCAGTTTCTGAGAACTTGTGACATAAAAAGTCAGATGTCCAGATGTCAGATGTCCCATGTCCTGAATATTAAGTATGAAAAGGGGACAAGTGAAATGATTATACAGTTTAAAAAGTAATGGTACTAATAACTAAAAAGGTTATAGATTTTGGTAATTGTATCCTGTGACTATCTTAAAGGTGGCCCTAGAACTGCTGGAGAAGGCAGTTTCTCGGGGTCAGTGGTTGATGCTGCAGAACTGCCACCTGTTAGTGAAGTGGCTGAAGGACCTGGAAAAGGCAATAGAGGGAATCACAAAGCCCAATCCTAACTTTCGCTTGTGGATCACAACCAATCCCATTAAAGATTTCCCCATTGGCATTCTGCAGAAGTCATTTAAGGTGAAATATATTTTCTTTTCTTTTTTTATGATACAATAATAATAATAATAGCTGTAAGAATTGTGTGTAGGTGGTGACGGAGCCTCCCAATGGACTCAAGCTGAACATGAAAGCCACATTCTCCAAAATTTCAAATGAGATGTTGAATGCATGCCCACACTCTGCATTCAAAAGCCTGGTCTATGTGCTGTCCTTTTTCCATGCTGTGGTGCAAGAGAGGCGCAAGTACGGAAAGATTGGTTGGAATGTCCCTTACGACTTCAGCGAGTCAGACTTCTTTGTAAGTGGACCAAAGTTTTTCCTTTTTGAGCAGCAAAATAACAAATAAATAGACAAATGTGACTTTTTTGTAGTTAAATCAACATAACAATGTTTACCAGGTGTGTATGGAGATCCTGAACACCTACCTGACTAAAGCTTACAACCAAGGAGACAGCAATATACCCTGGGGAAGTCTTAAATATCTTATTGGCGAGGTCAGGCTACAATAATTGTGTTTAAAGTTTTGTGTTGTAATATTGTCTCAGAAAATGCTTGATGTTTAATACGTAAAATGTTTTGGTAGGTCATGTATGGTGGTCGAGTAATAGATAGTTTTGACCGAAGAATCCTAACTGTCTACATGGACGAATACCTTGGAGACTTCCTCTTTCATACATTTCGGTGCTTTCACTTCTTCAGCAACGAAGATGTGAATTACAAAATCCCTTCGCCTGGCCCAAAGACTGTATATGTTGGTCAGTTCAGTTTCACTTCATAAATAATTTAAGACAGGAAATAGGTAACTGTTCTTTACTCTGAGCTCTAACCTGTTTTGTTGTAGATGAGATTGAAAGGATGCCTCTGGCAAACACGCCTGATGTGTTGGGTCTTCATTCCAACGCAGAGATTGGATATTACACTCTAGCTGTTAAAGAGATGTGGGCTCACTTAATGGACCTTCAGCCTCAGACAGGTATGAGTGAGCATCTTTCAACACTTATCTTAACACATCACTGCTAAAGTCTATATTTTGTTTTATTATATTATTGTAATTTTTGATAAAATATTTGAGGAAGTAATAACTTTCTATGAATTCTTTTTTAAGTACATTGCAGTATTTGGCTTTTACGCTGTCTGTTCCCATACGTCTCAGGTGAATCTCGTGGAAGTGTTACTAGAGATGAGCACATCGGCCAGGTGGCTCAGGACATCCAGAACAAGCTTCCTGAGTTATTTGACATGGATGTCATTCGTAAAAAGTTTGCTACAGACATTTCTCCAACATCAGTAGTTCTACTTCAAGAACTGGAGCGCTTCAACAAACTAGTGGTTCGCATGCAGCAGTCTTTGGCTGAGCTGCAGAGGGTGAGGACAGGAACTGTGACAGAGATACTGAGGGGGAAATCACTCAGGTGTTGTGTTGTCTTCAGTTTTTTTAGATTTGTACTTGTGTCTTGTGTCTCACAGGCCTTGGCTGGTGAGGTAGGTATGAGCAGTGAGTTGGATGAAGTGGCTCGGGCCCTTTTTAATGGTCACATTCCTGCCATTTGGAAGAAGCTGGCACCTGAGACTCTGAAGTCTCTTGGGAACTGGATGATCCATTTCAAGAGGCGTTATGAACAGTACAGCTACTGGGTAAAGACACGAGTTAGCAAATAAAATGTTTTTAGTTTATGTTTGTTTTATTCTGATGTTATTTGTAGTTAACAAGTTTATATTTGTGTGTCTGAATTATGTGTGTCTATCTTTTGTTTGCAAGGTGAACAAGAAAGAACCAAAAGTTATGTGGCTGTCAGGTCTTCACATACCCGAGTCGTACTTGACTGCTCTGGTTCAAGCTGCATGTAGGGAAAATGGCTGGCCCCTGGATCTTTCCACACTGTACACAGAAGTGACCCACTACTGCAGTGACGATGACGTGACTGACAGACCAAAACAAGGTGATGAAATGAGAGTCATTGGTTGCAGCATGCTTGGTGAGTAGATCTAAAGACTAACAGTCTTTTTGGCATTAGGCTGCTTTGTGTCTGGTATGTACTTGGAGGGAGCAGACTGGGACGTGGAGAAAGGCTGCCTAGTGAGGAGTAAACCCAAAGTCCTGGTTGTTGAGCTCCCCATTCTCAAAGTCATCCCCACAGAGGCACATCACCTCAGACGAAAGGTCCAGACAACAACCAACTTTTACTTGAATACAGTTCGAATGTTCCTCCCTGACTGTCAAGTATTTTCTTATGTTTTGTACCCCAGAAAACACTGAGGACACCGGTCTACACCACTTCCATGCGGAGGAATGCAATGGGTGTGGGGTTGGTTTTCGAAGCAGACCTGTTTACCACCATACACAACTCCCACTGGGTCCAGCAGGGAGTGTGTTTGTGCCTCAACACCGACTGAAGATCTCCCTCACATCCATCAAGCTGACCTGCTAATAATCCTAATACTTTTTTCACTAGATGGCAGCACAGAGCAGTACCATCCTCTTCAGCCTGTCTTTTAAGTATTTATATTTTTGATGTTTTATGAGGCTTAACTTTTAAACACACTCTGCCACGTATCTAAAATAGTTTTGATTTAAAATTCTTAAGCTGTTAAATAAAACAAATAGTAGAGAAGAAGCTGTGCAATGTGTCTGTTGACATTTAAATGTGACAGAATACTCCACAAAATGTAGCAACAATCAAAATTCACTTCTCTACTGACTGTACCCAAGTACTTTTGTTTAGCCTGTAGTTTGGGTTGCACTTTATGTTTTATTGTACAAATTAACTAACAGATCTAGAGCAGCTGAAGTTGTTGACTCTGCTGAGGGCAGCATGGCAAAGCAGGTGAAGTTTCCTCTAAAAGTCAGGCGGACTCTGGCAGCTGGTGCAGCAGTGAGGTAACACATATACAAAAGAAAACTGCAGCAGTTTTTATCCATTTTTGTGTAACATTTACCTCGTAGCCATTTTTGTAAGTGCCACTTTAATTATCTCTGCGCTGCTTGGACTAATTTTTTTTCTTTGGATGTGAATAATTGAAAAGCAAACAATAAATGTAAAAAAAAAACTGTCAGAAGAACGCATGTCATTATCATAATATGTAGTCTAAACGGGTCTTTTCTGAATCCACAGGGTAAAGGTCAGACAAGCTCCTTCTCAGCAGTAACTGGTGCGACTGTTAAAGAGTGCAGATTAGTACATTTTGATCAAACAGGAGGAGAAGGACTGTGTTCCCTTGTTGGAAAGAGAAGGGGAACAGATTTTTGTGTTCAAACATCTTAGACCAAATGCACATCAATGCAGACAATAAACAATGCATCCCTTTCAGTTTACCAAATAAAAGAGAAAGAAATAATGTAAGCATTGGTAGAGACAACTATTCAAGCAATGACTTTCTTACATTTATTACATGTATAATGATCCATACTTATAACAACTAAACCCGTATTTAATAGTTAACCCATCAGTATAGTATCTATTTAATTTAACTACAGTAGATGAGCAATTACTGTTTTTTAACTTCACCAAAAAAAAAAAAAAAACTGCATCAATAACAAAAACATCAACAATAATCGAATAATAATATTATATCCAGCAATAATAATATGTTTATATGATAATGTGAACAGTTTTATGTTTGGACATTGTTTAAGTTCAATATTCAAATTATTCCACAGTTTGACTCCACTTACTGATACACAAAAGTTTTTTTCTAGTAGTTCTGAATTTGCATATTTTACACTGTGATTGCCCCCTTAACTTATAAATTTGCTCCTTAGTCTTAAACAAGTTTTGAACGTTTTCCGGTAATTGTTTGTTTTTGGCTTTGTAAATAATTAGAGCTGTCTGTAGTTTCACTATGTCAGTGAACTTTAATAATTTAGATTTTACAAAATTATGAACAAATAATATCTTTCCAGTTATAGATAGCTCTTTGAACGAGTTTAATTCTGACCCGATTGATGCTAACGCTAGCCCGAGTGGAGTTAAGACGAAAGTGAATTGCTGCCATTGTAAAACAATGCATCTTTAAAGTGTTTCTTATAAACCTTTATGTTGCTGTCAGATGTACTGCTTAGAGTTATTTACATGACTCGGTTGGGCACAGCCAAAAGGAGCAACATGGGTTTGATTTCCTGTGGGCCCACCACCTGCAGGAGGGGCCATCAATGTCGGGTGCATGACATCGTGGGCAGTGGCCAATTGGCCATTGGTGTTCTGACCCTGGCTTATCAAAGTTGGCTCTTGGGACATGGAATGTAACCTCTCTGGTGGGGAAGGAGCCTGAGCTTGTGCATGTGGTTGAGAGGTACCGACTAGATATAGCTGGGCTCACCTCGACGCACATCATGGGCTCCGGAACCGATCTCCTTGAGAGGGGCTGGACCTTATTCCACTCTGGAGTTGCCCATGGTGAGAGGTGCTGAGCTGGTGTGGGTCTACTCTTAGCCCCCCGACTTGGTGCCTGTGTGTTGTAGTTTTTCCCGGTCATCCCTGCATCTTCGGGTGTGGGAATGAGCTCTGACTGTTGTTTGTGTCTATGCGCCAAATGACAGTTCAGAGTATCCAGCCTTCTTGGAGTCCTTGGTGGGAGTTCTCGAAGGTGTGCCAACTGGAGACTCCTTTCTTCTGCTGGGGGACTTCAATGCCCATGGGGGTAATAACAGTGTGACATGGAAGGGCATGATTGGGAGGAACAGCCTTTCTGATCTGAACTCAAGCAGTGTTCTGTTGTTGGACTTCTGTGCTAGTCCTAGTTTGGCTATCACAAACACCATGTTCGAACATAAAGGTGTCCATAAGTGCACTTGGCACCAGGATGCCCTAGGTCGTAGATCGATGATTGACTTTATAGTCGTGTCATCTGATTTGCGGCTGTATGTTTTGGACACTCAGGTGAAGAGAGGAGCTGAGCTGTCATCTGATTAACACCTGGTAGTGAGTTGGATCAGATAGCGAAGGAAGATGCCGGAAAGACCCGATAGACTGAAACATGTAGTGAGGGTATGCTGGAAATACCTGGCAGAAGAACCTGCCAGAGAGATCCTCAACTCACACCTCCAGGAGAACTTTAACTGCATCCCAGCTGATGAGGGGGAAAGTGAGTCCGAGTGGGCCATGTTTCGCACCTCAGTTGTTGAGGTAGCTGCCTTGAACTGTGGCTGCAAGGTTGTCAGTGCTTCTCGTGGAGGCCATCCACGAACTCGGTGGTGGACACCCCAGGTTAGGGAGGCTGTCAAGCTGAAGAAGGAGTCCTATCGGGCCTTGTTGGCTGATGGGACTCAGGAGGCACCTGAGGAATACCAGAGGGACAAACAATACACAGCCTTGGCTGTTGCTGAGGCAAAATCTCGGACGTGGGAGGAGTTCAGTGAGGCCTTGGATAGAGACTCTAGGTCAGCTCCAAGGAGATTCTGACAAACCATCAGGTGGCTAAGGAGGGGAAAGCAGTATTTTACTAACACTGTGTCCAGTGAAGATAGGGTGCTGTTGACCTCAACAAGTGATGTCGGTGGGAGGTAGAAGAAACATTTCTCGGACCTTCTCAATTCCACTGGCACACCTTCCATGGAGGAAGTGGAGTCGGGGGGACTTTGGGGGTTGTCTGTCCATAATCATGGCTGAGGTTGCCGATGTAGTTAAAAAGCTGCATGGCGGCAGGGCTCCGGTGGTGGATGAGATTCACCCTGATTTCCATAAAGCTCTGGATGTTGTGGGGCTGTCTTGATTGGCATGCCTTTAGCGTGTGGACATCATGGGCAGTGCCACTGGATTGGCCGACTGGGGAGGTGGTTCCCCTCTTCAAAAAGGTGGACTGGAGGATGTGCACCAAGGGGCATCACTCAGGTCTGTTCAGGGGTACTGGAGAAGCGAGTCCGATTGTTGATTGAACTTCAGATCCAGGAGGAACAATGCGGGTTCCGATCTGACCGTGAACAGCCCATCCAGTCTACATGTGTTTTTTGGACTTGGAGAAGGTTTTCAACCATGTTGTTCGAGGTAAACTGTGGGGATGCTCCGTGAGTATGGCATTGGGGGCCATTGTTACGGGCTGTTTGGTCCCTATACAAGCAGTGCGAGAGTTTGGTTCACATTACCAGTAGTAAGTCGGACCCTTTCAGGGTGGGAGATGGACTCCGCCATGGCTTCCTGATGTCACAGATTCTGTTCATAACTTTTATGTGCAGAATTTCTCAATGCAGCCAGGGGGCAGAAGAAGTCCAGTTTGGTGGCCTCAGGATTCCATCTCTGCTATTTGCTGATACTGTGGTCCTGCTGGCGTCATCATGCCATGATCTTCAGCTCTTACTGGTGCGATTCACAGCCAAGTGTGAAGCAACTGGGATTAGAATCAGCATCTCCAAATCTGAGGCCATGATCCTTTGTTGTTAAAGGGTGGATTGCTCTCCTCGGACTGAGGGTGAGATTCGGCCTCAAGTGGAGGAGTTCAAGTATCTCTGGGTTTTGTTCACCAGTGAGGAAAGAATGGGGCATGAGATTGACCAACGGATTGGTGCAGTGTCTGCAGTATTGAGAACTCTGTGCCGGTTGGTTGTTTTGAAGAGGGAGCTGAGCTGTAAGGCGAAGCTCTCTGTTTACCAGTCGGTCTATGTTCCTACCCTCACCTATGGTCACAAACTCTGGGTAGTGACTGAAAAAATGAGATTGCGGATGTAGGTGGTTGAAATTAGTTTTCTCTGGTGGGTAGCTGGACTCTCCTTTAGCGATAGGGTAAGTTCAGTTATCCTTGAGAGACTCGGAGTAGAACCGCTGCTCCTTCACATCGAGAGGAGCCAGTTGAGGTAGTTTGGGCATCTGGTAAGGGTGCCCCCTGGGCACCTCTCTAGGGAGGTTCTTCAGGCATACCTGACTGTGAGGAGACCTCGGAGAAAACCCAGGACACACTGGATAGACTATGTCTCTCAGCTGGCCTGGGAATGTCTTGGGGTCGTCCCAGAAGATCTGGAAGAGGTGGCTGTGGTGGCTTCGTCTCCAAGTCTGTTCAAATAGAGCATAAAGAAGTGTCTTTTTATAATGGTTATCAGATGGAGGCAAGGTCAGACAACTCTGCTCTCCAGCTTAGGGCCTTGAGTTTATCAGGTGAAAAGCTCCATGCTTCTGCAGCGCCACTCTGTCCAGACAAAACAGCTCTAACACTCACACAAATGGTTCCTATACGTTTGACATTAATAAGTGAAAAACATCTGTTACCTTTCACATCTCCATCAGTCAGCCAGTTATACGGCTGCCACTGTCAACTGATTAAAAGAATTGCTATAATTCAATTATTTTTAAAGATGTGATAAGGTTTGCTGTGGTGGTAACTGAGAGTTATTCACATCTCATATTTGAAGTGCTAATCAATGAACAAGATCTTTGTTTAAAACTTTGAGACTCTGGCCTCAGACATTTTAGCTGATGCAACTTGATAAATCATTTCCTGGCTTGCAGTGACAACAAATGACTTGATCTGGTGGTCACATTAAATAACTTCTCTCAACTACAATCCAAAGCAAATTATTTATCAAACAGTTAAACTTTGTCTAAATGTGTGCGCCTATAGAAGTCAAAATAATTCCTGCTCAACGAATTAATTTTGCCTAAGATAAATGTTCAGATCAATGCAGTTTATTTATAGAGTGCCAAGTCACAACAGAAGTCATCTCACAGCACTGAACAGAAACATTCATATTTAAAAATAGTAATTTAACATTATTTATCTGAGGAGCAGACTGCTTTGAATTTAACTCCATTGCAGAACTCTCATCTTGAGCAAGCATGAAGGTGACAGTGGAAAGAAAAAACTCCCTCATGAGGAAGAAACCTTTAGCAGAACCAGGCTCAGGACAAGCGGTCATCTCAAGGTCAAGGTTTTCTTTATTGCCATTCACATCTCATGTGGTTAAAGAGAATTAATCCTTGATTAAAAATTTGGTTTTATATTTCATTATTGGTTTATTAGTTTTCAAACAATTTTTTTCTCCAAATTATTATCCTTTATTATTTGTGTTGTTCAATTTGTTTATTATCGTTGATGGTTCTTAGTCTGATAAATTATTTTCGTAATATAACTTCAAAAACAAATTTGGTCTCCTCTTTTAGGTGAATATTCATTTGTTATAGAATTCCCTTTAATTAACAGATTCTACTTCAGCGACTGAGTTCTGATCATTAAAGGGTAAATTACTTAATTAAGTTGTTGCTGGTCAGTAAACTGACCTGCTTTAATGCAAGTGCAAAACCATTAATAAAAGTGTAGTAAAGTGAGGAGCAAGTGTCACCCGTCCTCCTCCATTCACTCATATATGTGACGAAGAAAAATCATCTGAGTTGGACAATGGACTTATTTTCTTTCTTTCTTTTTGACAGCATTATGATCAACCCCATTGCAGTAGTGGTCTTTGTAATATCTGAGTTTAAAAGGAATCACCATTTAGATAGGTAAAAATTAAAAAAATGATAGCTCAGCCTAGCTGGGTAAAAGATAAGTAGTAAAATATAGGTCCTTCAACATGTGCAGATGTTTTAAAACGTAGATATGGAGAGAAGCTGCTGAAACCAGGTTAAGAAGTGAGGTGATAATCAGCAAGCTGCAGTCTGGTTTTATACAAAGAACAAATGTTTGCTTTGGAAACATTGATGGAGTTAAAGTCTCTGTGGAGAAAACAGATGATGGATGGAAGTCAGGTGTGGTGGAGAAGTATGTGAGGGTAAAATAACGGGACATGCAAGGACAGGGAGATGTGCGGTTGGAGTAATAGATGGAGATTACATCAGAGATCAGGTTTAACTCCCTTCTATTGACAAATGAGGTCAGTGAGAGTGGAGGGCAGGTGGAAGAGAGTTTGGGGAGGTGGAGTTATGCTCTGGCGAAAAGACAAATGATAGTCAGCTCTGGAGATGTCCTGGTCCCAATGTGAAAGGACTGATCTGGATGATGTAGACAGACTGGTGTGGGGAGTGCAGGGTTTGACTTCAGTCCATGTCAGGTCAGGATTTGGGGGATCTTAACAGCTTAGTGTTCCATCAGTGACGTCCTGCGTCCACATACCCCCTCCTGAGTCAGCATCTTTGTCAACAAGACACCCCTCGTCCACAGAGTGTGTCCATGAACTGCCTGCATCAGGTTGGGCCTCCTGACCAGCCCAGTCCTCCAGTCAAACTGGGACCTGGACTCAGTGCTGATTTGCCACAGGAGGACAAGACCACTGTATCTGGACCCAAGGGTGCCACACCCTGACCTGGGACCAGTGTGCTGCCAACTCCATCATCCATTTGATCTGAAATTATAATCCCAAGAGTCACGTGACCTTTTAGCGTGTGAAGATTCCACCACTCTTCTTGCTGTTTAACTTTTATTTTGTGTTAGTGTAATAATAACGGATAAAAAGTCAGAAAACATCTGTTTAGAGGAAGCAATGAGACAAGCAGCAGGACATCTTTATATTTACAAGTGTATGTAAAGTGCAGCTTCCTGAGATTTAAAGTGTCTCCATAGTTACAGTCTGCGTGCGCACAACAGAAATAAAATCTCAAGTTCAAGTTGTGTTTATTGGTCATATGCAGGTTAACACAGGGTTACCAGTACAATGAAATGCTTAGGATGAGAAGAACCCATTTGACTCGCTAAAAAACCAAAGAACAAACCAACAAGAACATACAAAAAACATGCAATAAGGGTACACAAAAAAGTACCAAAAAGTGAAAAAGTAATTAAAATATTTACTATGTCCTAAAGAAAAATATTGAACAACATGGTGCAGCAGGATGAATTTGAATTAATAAGTATTTCGAGGTAGTAATATAAGCTAAAATGCACATGAGATACACACACACACACACACACACATATATATATATATATATATATATATATATATATATATATATATACTTAACATAATCAACATACACCACACGGGTTGTGTGACAGGTTATTGCACAGGTAGTGACATTGAGGTTGAATTATTAGTTAGTTATTGCCATTTGTTCAGTATTATTTATCAAGAGTTTAGTAATCCGACAGCTTGTGGATAATAACTGTCCTTTAGTTTTTGTGTACACGATGACAGACTTCTGTATCGTATGCCTGAGGGTAGTAGATGGAAGTGCTGGGTGGGTGTGGTCCTTAATGATGCTGCGTGCTTTACGCAGACATCAGCTGTGGTAGATGTCCTGGATGGTGTGGCGACTGCTACCAGTGATGTCCTCTTCTGTTTGCACCACCCTCTGTAGAGCTTTCCAGCTCTGGCTGATGCAGTTCCCATACCACCCTGTGATGCAGCCTGTCAGCAGGCTCTTAATGGTGCACCTACTGTATAAATGTTGGTGAGGATGCTGGTGTTTCTCCTCACCTAGGACAACACTCTAAGGATGCTCTGCGGCTGTTTGGCGAAGGTAAGCGGGTCGACGGTGGACCCGGTTCAGTTGACTCCGAATGAACCCACTCCATCTTATGGGTGGATGCTCGGCTGCTGATGGGACGGGTCCTGCGCGCTCCCAACAGGCGTGCAGACAAGCAGCACCTGGTTCTTTTTTTCACTGTTTTTTAAAACTATTGTCTGCACATTTTTGTTATTAATAAAAAAATTAAGTTTGTGTAAGGCTCTTGGAAGCTGTTGATATATTTAACAAACTTGGTGTGCAAATTGTAATAAAACAAACAAAACAACAAATAACTTATTTTTGTTCTCAACCCTCAGAAAAATGAAGGTAACCTTTTTAGGTATGAAACAAAAAGTGTGCAGGAAAGTATGTGAAGAGTATTTGTGTCATTTTAAATATGTAGAGTACAAAAGAGCACATTTAGCACAACTCAACATCAAGTATAATTAAGTTTCAATTTTCAAATGCAGTATTAAAAATAAAACATTTTTTTTTAAAAACACTTCAGTCTCTGATTTTCTAATTTTTGTCATGATTTCTTTGTTTTACCATTATTTGCCCATTTCATGTTTTGACATTACATGTAACACTTCACTGAACCTTTACATTTCTACAAAACAAACCGATTCATCCGTTTACTGAGCACTTGTCACACTGCTCGACCCATCTGTTCGTCAATCACCTGCATCTCTGCTGTGGTTCATTTTACTTCTGGATGAAACCCACATTTCAACACATTAAAAGCATCTTGAACCATTTTGGAAACAAGCTGATAAGTCTACTCCGAGACTTAAAATGTGATTTCAGCAAAATAATTTACATAATTATGTCTTAAGTTGATGAAAACAGCATAAGCTCACAAACTGGAACATTTCATAATCATTTTATTCAGTCAAGTAAAAATATTTTTGCGCTATGGGGAAAAACAATTTGAAGGACACATTTTTCCAACCTGGAACGGCAAAGGGGAATAATTTGTTTTCAAGTCTTTATTTTATTAAGCACATTCGTTCAACAAGCTGGCGACAAATCAAGAAAAGCTGTTGGAGACACATCAAAAACAAACACTCAGTCACAGGAACCATCCTTCCATCCGTCTCTCCACCTCTCGTCCACACGCGAGCAGTCGAACTCGGGCTTTCCCAGCCGCACGTTGATGTCGTTGTGAAGACGGCACAGCCACTGGGACAGAGCGTGGCGGCTGCTTGTATCCGGCTGATTGTTTTTCAGCCTGCGGGGAGGAAATGGGCTCGGTTTATAAATGGCTGCTAATTTCACCACAACTGGTTGCTCGAGCTAAAATAAGAACAGGCGACATTCAAAATATCTAGAGCTTGCTGGCAGGACACTGGTCTGACCTGCCTCTGAGATCTTCTGCACATTCTTCACAGGGGAAGAACTTGGAGAAAAGGTTGATAAACTGTCCCATGTCCTGCTGCTGCCTGGAGGACGGCTGGTCGGGATAATACGCTGCCATGGTGTGCAGATAGGACCAGGTGCTTCTCCCCAACTCCTCCCTGTCCAAAGGACACTCTGGGTCCTGCTGCTCTGTCCCTGCTACACGCGTTTCCTGTGGGGTCAGATGTCAAAATACAATGGGTCACATGAAATTTAAGAGGAACATTAGGCTGTAAAACACAGTTTAATACGATTACATTAGTGTAAAATAAACTTCCAGATAAAGCACTAAGGAGAACAGCTCATAAAACTCGTTTTCTGTTCAAACAAGTCTCAGAATGATTCAAGTCAAGTGTTTGAAACCTTGTGTCACCTGTGCAGCCGCCGTCGCCTGCTGCCGTTTCTGAAGCTTCATCCACGATTTAAAGTCCGTACAGGTTCGACACGGCTTCTTCTTCACATCCCCAGCCTGCCCCTGCGCCTTTCCGCTGTCCTCCGGTGGCCGGCTGTTGGTCCCAGGGAAAGGAAACCCTTCAAACCCGGGCAGGTTCGCGGCTGAAGGTTCTCTGGGTCCCGTAGGCGCAGCCATGTTCGTTGCGTGTGTTTAGATTATATTTCGGACTGACCTGCAGCTTTGATAAATATCAGGAATGTCAGCTGGAGAACATGAAACTAGCTCCGAGCGGAGACACAGTTAAGTCTTAATATTTACTGACTTAAACCATGGTTTAACGGCACGAAGGAGGACCGTGTCCATTTGTGTGGGGTACGAGTTTTGTAAGCGTTTCCTTGTTTCTCCCGGACCTTTTATAAAGACGGAATGTGTTCCGGTTGGCTCTCGGTGCATGCCGCTGATTGTACCCGCTGTCAAAGTAATTGTCTTCCTGAATTTAACCATTGAAACCATTGACAGTGTGCATGTTTCGTTCGGATATTAATTTATTCATAAATTCTCCTCACTGACTACTTTTGTAGCAGTTTCTTTGACGTCAAGTACCACCAGTTCGCATGTTAGCATGTGGCTAACGAAGCTAACAACTGAGAAGTGACACGTTTCTGCTGGATTTTTTTCTCCCTCACAGAGTAGCTGCAGCCCAACTGGATCAGAGCCATGGGTATTTTGGAGAAAATCTCGGAAATAGAGAGAGAAATTTCTCGGACACAAAAAAACAAAGGTAACGGAGGATAACCGCACAGCTAACTCGTAGCTACAAAAGAGTGGAGGCACCTTCACGAGTGTGTTTGACGTGTTTTATTATATTTGTGGGGTCCCCAAGTGTATTGTGAAATCCTCAACTATGTTTTTAGTATCTTGTTGGAGGTCAAGATTTGATTTTAAGAGTTAAGTGAGATGAAACAAATGTATGTGTGTGTCAGCTGTTACTAAAACCAAAATAGAAGAGCGCAAACTAACTCATGAATATCTGTTAAGTAGTGATGTTTTTGTTTATGTTAATTCTAAACAAGCAACGGTCTGTGGGTTAATTGTGCTGACATTTCATGTCTTATGTCGCATGATCACATACCAGAGGTCAACCCAAACAAACCTATTGAAAGTGTAATTTTCCACAAGTTATTTGATGTGGTTTAAAATAAAGGGGAGTGGTGGGGCTGTGATCGGAAGGTCGCCGGTTCGACTCCCTGGATCATCAAAACTGTGGGTGGGAAAGGTGAAACATCCACACCTGCCTCCACTCTGGGCCTCCAAGCAAGGCCCATAACCCCACCACCCACTAAGCTAATGTTAGATGGTGACAGTGATCCAGACAGTGAAGGATGGATGTGAGGTTTGATATCCCCTGCCAGTGTTCCTGACCTCACCCAAACTTCTGCACAGTCTTGCATGGATAAAATATGCTAATACATAAAGATTTAAATAAGTTTACTAATTACAGTTTACTCCTTAATTCCCTTGCTATTCATTATGATTAAATAACTTTACTTTCAAGCTTAACGTTCTTTACGTACCTTTTTAAAAATTGCAGGTTATACATGTTGTATTGTTTTGTTTTGTATTGATGTAACCACATCTTTCAACACAAAAAGCTTTGTTTGTTTAATTGAAGTCACAGTGTTACCCAAATGAATCTTTGCTTATATTTAAGATGCTGTATTTAAGAATGTGGTGATAAGGTACTGAAATGTAGATATGTTAAAGAAACTAGTATAACTATAATAACTACATAGTTAAGTACATACCCATGTATTGTTGAACTTGATAATACAATAAACATTAGTGACGGAACTTTGTATTTACACAATTAAAGGATAAAATTACTAATGTGCAGACATGTCTGCCAAATGTTTACATCAGTGCTGTATCATGGCATAGAGGAGAATATTCCTTACTGCTTCGTGAAAGATACTGTACATGTAGCGTGTGTAGTCAAAGTCTTTTGTCAATTTATTTACTGGTCTTATAGATGTAGATCAACAGAAATGGAGATGAACAAAATAAAAATACAATGATTGTATATCATATATAAAATTATGTTTCATTTAGAAGTTACGGTATTAGAAATTGGTTAAAGTAGAATAAATCATAGCAAATTAGTCAAGTCCTGTAAATACCAGTAATTTTCATG